ACTTCCATATCTCAACACGATACCGACGTCTGTGAATATTACTAAAACATTAAGACTAGCGTACTCAAAGGAGAGCATTCGTGGTAATGTAGTTGAAAAATCACAATTTCCAAGTAAATAGACAACAAAGAGATCGCGGAAGGCCGTAATACGAAAACACCTGCAGGTAGAGAGTGCTCGACAGTGATATGGTGGAAAAATTGGTGGTAATGGAGAGTACCGCCCTCGGTTTACAGACCTGAAACAACTTTCATAGGGAAGTTGGAAGTGTTGGGAGTGTCATATAACTACCCCTACGCAAAGCTTCAGACGGATTCGCGATGTTGACTTCCTACTGTGTCTACCGTACATCTTGGGCGTCACCGTAGTTTGGCATACCCTAAATTCGTCTGCACGATCTGAGTCTAACACCGCTTTTACTTTTAGAAAATCTCTATTTTAAAATAAGTTACGACGTTTGCGACGGATTTTTATGTGAAATCACGTTTCTTTTGCAAAAGTTATGAGCAGTATTGTATCCTAGCCAACACCTCAAAACTCTGAAATACATTCAATCCGCTAATGAACTAAAATGCTCGATTGGACACAGAATTAAGTTCGCGCTCACCTTAAATGGCTGCAGACAAGTTTTCATCAAACTGAGTCTTGAAAATATTTTTGCACCTAGTGATTTAGTCTCCACCTGACCCGTTATGAAAAGTCGCAAGGCTTCTGTATAAACTCGACTTATAGGTTGTCGCAATGCACCGATTGATTTGTAGACATTTTGCGACGAACCCAAATCGTTCTAAAGTTCTGGGCATTAGGATTTCGGGATCGTAAACCATGATTAAATCTAATGCCTATTTCTATGTTACTGTGCCCCAACCTGCCGTGCATGCCTAAAGAGGTGGCAGTAGTGAACCTCTTTTGCAGCAGTGTATATGTGGAATTAAGTGGAGTAGGTGATCAAAGACTCGGAGGGAGGTTTCTTCCAGCAGATAGCTCAGTGTTTTTACTAATTGCTATTTATGCACCCTGGTACAATATAAGGGAAGAATCATGCAATCGACGGAAGCTTTGGTGGCTTGTCTGCAAATTTTCAAAACAATCCAATTTCGTCCCCCTACAGAAAGCGTAGGATACGTCTATTAGGGTGAAGTTGGTTTAATGATTGACAACTATTTTAAAGCGTTCATGGCTAATTAAATTGTAAAATAAAATTTAAAAAACGATGAATCCAAGAAAACTACGTACGACGCTCGAGAAAACTCTCAGTATGTTACATTTGCGCAAAAAAAAAGTTTTCTGAAATGTCCTTGCCCTCAATTTCGAACTATTGCGAGGTTTTCATAAATCAACACCTTCTTCATGAATGCTATTTAACGAACTCCAAGTAGCTAAAACTCTTCATCTTCATCCACTGTTCAAGTATCAGTCTTCTCTACAGACCTCTTGAAAGTTTGCTCTATAGCAAAGAATTTTTAGCCGCAAATTACTTTCTACCTAAAATTTCTGAGTCCTATAAATTGACTCATATCAATATGAACTGGACAGTCATCGTAGTACAATTTTCATAAAGCTTGGAAACAGGAACATCGACTAAGTACTTTTTCCCAACATCTGCAAAAAGAAAGACAATAGACTGGATGCGGCAATAAATGCGCAAATCTCTATCCCATGGTTTCATATCCAACGACGCTTCTTTAAAACATCTCTCATCGTAAGCCTTTAAAATCCCACGAAATCATACTTTCTTACAACGTGGTCACCACCAATAAGGGAATCTAATAGGAACCAACTTCCTCAACTGATATCATAAAACTCCTATGAAATTATTCCTACAAATTTGTGTAATTATTCCTAACAATTTGTGTAAAGTTAATTTCTATCGAAGATCTATCATTTGCAATTGTAACCTCGCGCTGTGCTTCAATATCTGTTAAGTATACTAATGATTTTTTTAGAACATACGAAAATGGATCGAACCCTTATCGTCGTTCTTGTTCTCACCATGGTAGCCAATGAAACCTTAGCCCAATTTGGTTGGGGCGGTTTTGGATATCCAGGCTACGGTTACGGTGGTTACAGCTACTACCCCTACGGCGGCTATGGAGGCTATGGAGGCTATGGAGGCTATGGGGGATACGGCTTCTTTCCTCACTTTTTCTTCCCCTACTACAGTAAGCTCACTAACTTATAGTTTTAGCATATTTTTGAAATATTTGTATTTTAGGTCCATTTCGAAGCGCCATACGAGGAGCACTAATTGGCGGAGCGTTGGGTGCATTGGTGGGGAAATGAAGCAGATTTGTGATAAAACAAGTTAAACAATAATG